CAAATTTAATATTTATTCCTAATATTTATTCTATTGTGCGCAGGTTCTTACAGCTTTTGAAAATTTAAATTTTCAAGTACAATCAAATATAATAGTATTGGTATTTTTAGCTAACAATATTTTTTTTGTTTTATTTTTTTTGAAAAATTCGAATTTTTATAGCATGTAAACATAAGTTATCAATAGTTGATAAAAACGAAAGCAATCTGTGCTAAGGTTCGATAATTTTGAATGTTCAAAATTGACGAAGTATCAAAAGAATATATTCAAATAAGAAACGCTAGCAACTTTAAGAATCGCTATTCTCAAAATTTCTACAATTTTGCATTCGAAAATTCAAATTGCGAGGATTTAAGCTTAAAAATTAATAAAGAGTATCGGGAGAGTAACTAAAAGGATTCTTCTCGTATCACATATTTATTTGAGAAATCTTTGGTATTCTCAAGACATTTTTATTAGTTTTATAATATATCGACGCTAACGTCACTTGGCAGCGAAAGATTCTGCGTTTCGCTTACACGTGGATATTTTGTGTAATTTCATAGAAATCATCAGCCGTTGCATCAGCATCGGTAGAAAGTGGTAGTTACACGTTAGTAAGGCTGTGTGCCAGGAAAATATGCGAGATATGAAAATATAAGACATGTACGAATGCATAGCTTCTTACGCGATTGTGAGATTTGATGTCAATTTAATATCATCAACATCATCATCGCCATTATCATCCTCATCATCATCATCATCATCATCATCATCATCATCATCATTATCGGAAAATATTGTCTCTGAATCTGAAATTCTACGCTTATTACGCAGTTTGGCTCACATATATAGCCACCGGAATACCAAACTGACTGTATGTAAAAAAAGATATGGCTACTGCTCTTTACACGCATGAGTTAAAAAACTTTGTTCTACAAGTAGCGGTAATGTCTTGGCGTAAAGTGGAATTATGCTGCTGCTGCTGCTGCTGCTGCGTTTTCACAGTTAGCCGTGCGCTAGTCCTCATCCTTGAAGCGACGATAGATGGACTGAACATAAGTGAAGACGCACTTCCAATCCGGTCGTTGCATCATCACCATGTCTTCGACGTCGAGTAACGGCGCAATTCCAGCGACTTCGCTGCAAGAAAGAGAGAAGTTCTTGGATTTGCCAGGTTAGCAAAAAGGACGGATTTAATCCTTGAAAGTCCAAGATTGATCGGCGCATCTCATCGCGAAAAATACAAAATAAATGTCGAATAAATCGAAATTCTTACTCGGCTTTCGTAAAAGCAAGTTCGAAGTTTTTCCTGCGATTTTCCGGGCGTAGAGAATTGTAATCGAAAGCATCCGGCCTGAAGTGATGGATCAACGCGCAGAATGCTAAGCCGTTATTCCAGCTTGTCGAGAAGTTTTCAAGCTGTACATTCTGAAACAGAAGGGGAAGGATCTGTTATCTGTGCACGAAAATTTCTTAACTGGAGCTTAAGCTTTTCTTATTTATCGCTAGCGCTCGCTCTTCTCCTCGAAGAACATAATAAATCGTAGGATTGCCTCGATTATCGAATCGATATTACTTGTTACGACACAATGCGCATTATTTACCTCGTACTCTTTGGTTTTCGATCGACACCACGCCAGTAACCGCTCTTTGATTTGCGCAGCATTATCTCGTACAGTCGGTTCGGTAAATTTGAATCGAAAATCCGTTCCCGGTGACTTTAGAGAGCTAAAACGAACAAATTGGGACAAGAGATGAATCACTCGGCAAGATGTAAATTAACGCAATGAGCGTCGTGCCAATCATCGATATTATTAGCCTCAACATGGCGTAAAAATTTAAACTTGTGAATAATAACATTTGTAATTAACATTTACAGCTATTGTTAATGTTAACTTAAATCTACTCTAAAACAAAAAGTATACATCTGAACGTACAAATATGTTTAATTTTAATTATGTAAATTTAAGTAAATATATATATATATATAGATAGAAAAATAAGAGAATCAAGTCTTAACTTTTTCCTTTGTAACATAAGATTTGTATATCTTTCTTTTCTGCTTTTTTTGTCAATCAGATTACCTTGCTCGTTGATCTCTGTCATGTCGCATCGACCAACGTGATCGTTAGTTGCACATCGTCGTGCAGTTTTAATTTTTATTCTCACCTTGACAAACTGGCGCTATTTTGCCTATCGAGCTGACGAAATTTGGCGAACGGCGACAGCGGCTTTTTCGGAGCTGAAAGATGAACGGAAGCACTGTAAAGCTACGAAGTAGCCGCTTGAAAAACGTGCGATATGTTAGACTCGTATCGAGATGCATACTAAAATCTGACCGAGATGTTAATGTCTCTCTACGTCTATTTTAATCGTCTATAACTCGTCTATAACTGAATCCTAATCATCACACAGGCGGTCTGAGGTTCTCTGCGAATTATTAGAAAATCTGGATCCAGCGAAATCGCGCGTCTCTCACTCTCGTTGCATGCCCGTCGCAGCGACATGCATTAGTCATCTTACGCAAACAAATTCAATAACAAGTTTAGTATGGGAGAAGAACAGATATGGCGATAGAACACGAAGAACACTATCAACAAAAAAAAGAAAAAGACGTGTCTGAGCGTAACTGACAAATTTGTCCAAATATCTCTTCTCTCGGCCAGTAACGAGAAGGTGACAAGACCTGTGTAAAAAAAAAAAAAAAAAAAGAAGTAGAGTATCTCGAACTGAGTTCCATTGTAAAGTGGATGCTAATTCATCGATCGGCGTCATGCACGAGCGTTGAAAAATATCATCTGTCACGTGTACACACGCACGCACAACGCACTTGACTCCCATGAGGACGTCACGAAGTGTGGCGGCAAGTGTAGGATTTATCGATATCGTCTCGATACGTCATAGTACGATAGGGATCCAAATTTTGCCATTCTCTTTCCGTAAACGAATACAAAGAGAAAGAAAAAGATGTCTGTAATCTTGATTTGAAAAATCTTCTATGTGTACTGACAAAGACGTCTGCTCAGTGTAAGATTTCTTGTTGGAAAATATCGTACGGTTACAAAATCTTATTATTTCCAGTTTGCTTCTAAAGCTCAACTGTGCGTATTGTAAGTAAATATTTGCAAAGTAGAATAAAGCTGCTGAACGAAATATCAGAACGAAATTTCAGCTTAATATTTAAACTAATTATTATTTAATTCAAAATTCGAATTAGTATAAATAAAAAGAAGACAGAAGGAGAAAATAGTAAATATGATACTGTTATTAATACGTAGTTGTAATTATAAGTCGTGTAACGTGTCACGAAGTATTTCACGAAAGATTGAAAGATTTTCTCTAAGTTTTCTCTAAATTAAATTTCTCAGAAAGATATTATTATAGTTGTAGAGGAAAAGTTAATCGCGTTTCACGAATACTGCAGCAAAGTATATACGCAGCTGTGATTCCACGTGTTTCGCGCTACATTGTGAGTGGTGAAAAATTGTTCAACATTTTCGTCGAGCCTCCGTATAGCTTTCGAGGAGACGAGACCTCTCGGGAGGTCCTCCGATTCGGGGGAGCTTCGAGTTATTCGGGCCACCACAGCATCGCTATGCTCCGCAATTGTACCAGCGCGCGTACACTACACACAGAGATTACACTCTTAGACACACTCGCAGCAGTAACGCAAACTGTACGCCACGCTGCACGTAACAAACGGATCAACAAAAAACAAGGGCTGTGACTCACTGCTTTATTCGGGGATCGGCATGGTCCTCTTAGCGGACTCCGTCCGCGCTCGCGACTCTCGGGATTTTCTCGGGAACGAGAAAGGGGACGTTGGAAAAAGAAAAGAAAAAGAAAAAAAAAAAAAAATAAAGGAAGGGAAAGAGAGTGCCACGCGACACGCGTGAGGATCACGCGCGTGTAAAACGTCTGCTTTATACGTATATTTGAGATTGATTTTGCGACTGATTTCAAGTAAGCAAGTGTATTAATTTTTTTAAGCGCGTCGAAATCGATGCGTCGCGCGGTGTTCTCTCTGTTATTTCTCTCTCTGAATTCAGAAATCGAATTTCACGTGGCGGCGTGGCTTCGCGTTGCTCGACGCGTCGAGCTTTTTCCCCGCAGCGTCGACTTTTCCCACTTTTGCCAGGCGCGAGGCGATCTCGGGCGGGCAGAACGAAGAGTGATGGTGGATGGCACCAGAGGGGCGAAGAGTGATGATGGTCGTTGCATCGATCTCCACTACCGTCTCTCGTAATGGACGAAGACCATGTACTGGCATCAATTCCGCCGTGGTTGCACGAAACGTGCCGCTTTCGTAGAGAGCAGCTGTGTAGCAGCTTCGGTATCGGGAAACGGCGCCGACGAAACACACATTTCTGCTCTTCAAAGATGCGGTTTCTAATCAGTAAACCCGTTAGATCTACCGTCGTAACGTCATCAACTAGTACACGAAAAAAAACTTCGGCACGATTTTCAAACCTAGAATGATCTCGGCGATCGTGAAAAAAATCCCGGGAGTTATACACAGCCAATTAGATCGTAGATCCAGGTCTCATCAGGCGCGTACAAACGCTCATTAATGTATCTACTCTCAGCCTTTTCTTTTCATTCAAATTATCTACGGGAATGAAAGATGGCTAAATCATAGATTCTAAAGAAAACACGTGGCATTTTATACAAAAGTTAGAAATTAATAAATTCACTTTTACGAGGAGAGTATCAGTATAGGCCGTTATTCTCATGAATTATAAGTACTAGTCGAAGCCTGCTCGGAGGGAAATAGAGAAAGAGCTAAATCTCTGAGTTGACCTTGAAGCTTAGTTAATATTTACGTGAAATTGTGTAGTCTTATGTAAACGAAATACAATCGTATATTAATTCCCAACGTAAATAACAGTCTGATTAACCGACTACGTGTGCGATGATGCGTCGTCCTGGATGACCACGGCAATTGACAAGGCACGTGAATTAAAGTAAACAAAATCGCAGCTTAGCGATCCACCTTTGGCCAATTACACAATGCATTTGCGGCGATCGCAGAGGTGTTTTCATTATGATGTTCGCAGCGCGAGACATGTCGCCGTGAAAAGGGTACTCGCGAACGTCCCGGATGTCACTTTTACCGCCACCAAATTTCCCAAGTGTACGTCGTACCGACGGGTACTACGACACGAGAAACACTGGCCGATCAGAAACGATGATCGTCGGCCTTCGTAGCCTCTTCGAAGATGTCGTCGAACACTTTGTCCACGTCGGCGCTGTTGAGACTGCCCACGGAAATCTGTGATACCGCAGGTATCGTCAGGCGCAGACTGTCGTCGCATATTCCTGGCATGGTGCGACTTCTGGACAGGCCGATCAAGCCACCCTTCTTCACTGAGTCGCGCGACGAGAAGCGCCTGCCCTTGGAGTCCCGCGTTTCCGCGGCGTTATCACCGGCCGGATTGTCGAAATACCTGCGTATCTTGTCCTCCATCTTTTTCACGCTGTCCGAGGACGCCTCGTACTGTTTTTTCATCTTAAAGGACGACGGTGACTTTGGCTTGGGCGGTTTTGGAGGGTAGGATCCGACGTTGGCGAAGGGTTGCGGCGGTAAATTACCTTGTGACGGACGCGAGGGGGACGCGTGATGACCCTTAGACAGTGCCAGCTGATGCCACGACTCGGACTTTGACAGGACGATGGATCTGGACGGCTTGTTGGTGCAGGACACGAGATACTCGTCGCTGGAGTCCATCCTGCCGCTGGCGCCGTTCGGAATTGGCGAGCGTTCCTTTTGGATGGGTTTCGTTTGGCCGCTCGGTTGCTCGTACTGTTCTCGGAGGGCGGTGATCCGGTTCTTCGCGCTGAATCCGGAGGACGGTGCTACCGACAGCAAACCGGTGACAACTGTCGGTGGCTCCAATCTCCTTGGCGGTTGCTGCCTTTTCGACGGTTCCTGTCTTCTCGGCGGTTCCAGTTTCTTCGGTAGTTCCGATTTTCTCGGCAATTCTGGTCTTTTCGGCATCTCGGGTGGTTGAAATCTCAGAGGCTGACTATAACCGCTTGGTTGATTACAACTGGTGGATTGATTGACGGTCGTAGGCACATAATGATCGTTCAGCGTCGTTCGCTCGTTCTGCAATCGACGGACCAGACTCTGCTGCAACATGTTATGTCGTCGTATCTCGTCGTCCTCGGTCGTGGTGGTTTCACTGTCGATCGACTTGGGCTGCGACCAGAGCTGTGAGGGTGATAAGGATGGTGACGATCCAGATTCCGGTCTGGTATCGGGGATATTGAGCGTCATTGGAACGTCAGCGGACGCGACAGTTGCGATCGCGCAAGTGTATCGCGTGACTACACCAGCGTCCGCACTGATATCCTGATTTTGGATGTTCTCTTCTTCCGGCAGGACACCATCGCTCATACATGGAGGATCTTCCTTGTCGACTTCTTGCGGTGCGCTTGATATTCGTTCCTCGAACGGATCTGTGTTGGGTTTAACGTACGGGATATAGTTTGGATATTGCGATCGATTATCGATTGCCGGTTTAGGAAAGAGGAAAGAATTTTCGCATCGCGGACTCGTTTGAAAGGTCGGTTTCGGTGATCGATGCTCAGAAATCGCCTGGAAAGGAAGTTTCTCCGTCGGATATGGCACGCGAATGGCGTCTTCCTTGACGAGATCGCACGCGTTCTTGTTCGTTAAGGGCAGGACTTCGTTTCGCGAAGCGACGTCATAATTTCGATTCTGATCCAGAATAAAATGACTCGGATCTTCGGCTGGACGATAATTCAAATCTAACGTCGAAGCGGTATCGTCGTATCGAGGGGGCATCCAGGGTTCCTTGACTTCCACTGTTGGTTCGTCGTGGGTCTGAACAGATGCGTTGTTGTACGTAGACGGCGGTCCTTTCGCGACCTTGGGAACAACTCGAAACACGCGTGCCTCCACGGGATAATTATCGCCGTTGACACCAGTCTGTATGGCCACGGACGAACTACCTCTGAGAGTCGCGTCGACCGGTGCGTTTTCTATGAATGCAATTCCGAACGAGTCCTTATTATTACATACGGTATCTGGCTGTTCAAAGACATCCTTCTCGCCGCGAAAATCAAATTTGTCTCGAATTGGTTCCTCAGCCGTGTGATGCGGCTGACTTGGACGATATTGGACCTGTGGTCCTTTCTCGGGGAACATTCTGAAGGAAATCTTTCCATCTACAACACCAAGCTTCTCGTTCGCCGGCGCCAAGTTCTTGCGATGCACATTCACGTGTTCGTTACGTTTGCGAGATTCCTCAATGCCTTTGGTCTCTGGAGCGGCATTCTTGCCGATAAAGGGTGCAAATTGTTTACAGAACTGGCGATAATCGAGCCGTCCGTTCTCGGTGACCATGTTGTTCGACTTGTTTTCGTTTCTATCGTGTTCGAGCCAGGGTGGCCGTGGAAAGGCGGACTTCTGGGTGTTCTCGTTCGCGTTAAGCCACAATGGCTGCTGGGCTTGAACGTTGCTGTCCCTATCGAACATCTTGGCTTTCTCGCGTAAGGAATTTCCGGCAGGTGGCGCATTGTTCTTCTGCCAGTGGCCAGGTGGGGACTTTGGTGGGACATGCGGTTTTTCAATCTTCCGAAACAGCGACGAAGGCGCATGTTTGAAGCCCGCATCTGACTGCGATGCATTCGCATTCGCGAATGGAGAATTGTTATGTGCCATACCATCGCCGAAAGGTGTCTTTTTGGGACCTACGGAAGCCTGAGGAGACGTTTGGGGTGTATCTAGAAAACGTTTCGCGACGCTTTGCAGCCTGGGTGATAATTTCTCGCCGTCATTCGTAATAGATGAGGGCTTATCGAAGGCGGTCTTGATATTCGAGAACCGACTGTTCCAATTCTCGTTCGTCAACGACGACATGTCCGTCGCCTTGGTGTAGCCGAAGGACTTGACGAAACCGGGCGTGGCGTTGTACGCCTGCGTCTCGTTATTTCGGCTAATCAGCGCCAGGAACTTCTTGTCGTTCTCCGTTCTAGGATGAAACGACGGCACACCGAGATTGGACGCATTCGCGTTGATCTTGTCGCCCACGTTGATGGGACGTCGCAGAAGTACGCAACCGGGATTGTCGTAGCCGAGGCTCTCGGCCTGTAGCTTAAGATAGCTTGGTATGTCGATGGTATTAGCACGTTTGATCTTTGACTTTTTCGCCGCAAACTTATTGTTGTTGTTGTTGTTGCATTTGCCGGCGCTGATCAGTTCTGCGCGTTGCCGAAGCACCGCCGCGAGTTTCGTTACCCGACTTTGCTCCTCGCTCGCCCTCTTGATCGCAGCTTCCTCGTCGTCAGTCACCTTCTCTTGGTAACCATCAACGCCACCTTGAGGATGAGTCTGATGGGTGTTCGAGTCATCCGCCGTTCCGGTCGCGACCACCGGCCGATCTACGTAATTAATCTGCGGCGGAACCAGCGGTCGATATACGCTATCCTTATTCTTGTCAAGGAACGATTGACGCTGATTAATCACGTCCTTTGTGTACTTGTCGTGGATCTCCTCGACGTGCGGCTTCTCACCGCTCGTCACGTTACGTAACGCGGGCAGCAGCGGTTCCGGTCGTTCAGTCGCGAATATCTGGTCGTTCAATCTCACCAGATCCGCGCTGCTCTCTTCCAGCTGCCTTCTCGCGTGCGCGATCTCCTCGGCGGAGACGCCGATGGTGTGTCTGACGGGACGCCGTCTTCGTCCGGGCGGCACGCCACCACTCTGCCACGCTGTGACGTCGATCGTTCTGCCTTCGTTGTTACCCGTTGACTCCTTCTCCTCCGCCGGCACCTGCAGCCGCGACAATAGGCTCGACACCAGTCGCAGGAGGTGTAGCTTGCTCGTGGGATCCGACACCCCGCCGTGCTTCGCGAGCGTCGCGACGTCCGTACGCTCGAGAGTCTCGCGTAAACGAGAGAGCGCGGTCTGGATGTCCGACAGCAGCAGATCCTCCAGGAACTTGAGCTCGTCCCTTCTGGACACGGGCACGTCGTGGTCGCAACCGTCGCCGCCGAGTAACGCCTGTTCCATGGAACGGCGCACGCAGATCCGGTCACCGGCCCCCTCGCCGGGCGCGGCGCGCGACGTCGCCGTCGGCTCGTCGCCGCCTCGCCGGCCACCCGCTGTCAGGGAACGCTCGAGCGCCTCGCGCAGACGTTCTACCAGTACCGGCAATGAATTCCACTCACCGACTACCGCGTTGGCACCGCCGCTGACGTGACGCCGCTCTCCGTCTCCGTCGCCGACGGAGGTAGTTGCCGATGGCACACCAACACCCGGTTCCGCCTGCCTCGCGACCACCCCCGACACCGGCACGCCGTCGTCCGACGACGCGCTTCTCGTGACGGTCGCCAGCTCTGCTGTGGGTGAACAAATCGAGTAATTCAGAAATCATTCGCTTAGTCTCATTAAGATTATTTAATTAAGATTATTCGTAAGATGTAAATTATATATTTGGTTTTTATTTATTTGTTCTTTTTTTATTTATTTATTTATAAATTTTGATTAGAATAAAATTATTGCGTTTTCATCATTTCTTGACTTCTGATTTCTCTCACCGAGAGCAATAGTAAATTTATTTGTGTTAGGTTTTCAAAATGGCCAATTTTATCGATTTATATCCATCATGTTGTGTACGTAATATTTATGTAATAATGGACTGTTATGGACTGTTATGTAACAAGAGTAAATATGTGTACTGTCCAGTAAGTAACTATATAGCTTATATATTTCATTTTTTTATATTGTATTTTATTTTGTTTTTCCGTACGTTGTAATATTTAACAAAATAATAATTTATGTAAACTATTATATAAAAATTATATAAAACTTGTATAACTAAGCAGATAACTCTGTAGCGTTGGATTAAAATTACGCAAGCATGATAAATTACGCACGTACCTATTATATTTTCTGAATACGCGGAGAAACCGTACCGGCGGCGAAATCGAACCTCCTTTGCTAGTCGAATAGCGGAAGAAAACTCACTGCTTTTCTGCCAGAACGAACGCTATTTTTAATCCGCGATTGAAGAGTCCGAGCGTAAATCTTGACAAGTGGTGCTTCTCGAAGATTGTACGTCCGATTACTCGCGTCGGTGGTTTACGCACACTCGCGTCTTGTCTCTCTCTTCCTTTAAAATTACTTTACAATGGTTTATCGTTCTAACAACATTCGTCATCAAGATTCTCCAAACATGAAAAATTCATTTTCAAAAGCACCAGTCGTGCCAGTCGCGCTTTACGCTCGGACTACAAATATCGCGATAGATAATATCGATCGTAGCAATCGAAAGGGGAAGCGTGTAAATAACACAAATTACTCTGTAAAATTTTTATCGAAAAATTTTTACTAGAAGAAATGACACCAATGACAAAGTATAACATCAACATATACGGAGAACTGAGAAAAAAAAAAAACACTATCTTCCTACCAAAAAGTATCGATTCGAACGTTAGATTAAAAATTTTAAAAAATGACACTTCTTCACACGCTAAAAGTCGGGAAAAAAAGAAAAAGAAACGCGTAATTTTCACACCGTGATTTCAGCACCGTGATCTTCCAACGTAACTCGCTCGCGCTTATCGCCTGACGAAGAGACCGCGCGTTGTCAAAGACCTCGCACGTCCGGCCGCCACGGCACGTCTCTCTTCGGCACGTCAACGAGTCGCGCGTTTTAAGAGAGACGCACGCGCCGGGAGCGGGTCGCGGGACGCGGGAAGGGCAGTTTGTTAGAAGCATTGTAAAACAACCGGTTCCGTGCGCGACAATCGGTCCCGCGCGTCGCGTTCGTCGCGCGCGCGGATCCGCGCTTCGATCGCTTTCGAACGATTTGCATTTTTAATCTTCCTCCTTTAGGGGTTGCGCGATCTCGACGACCGCGCATCCCCACGATCGATCGCAATGACCAAAAATGTCGAGAAAGGGAAAGCCACGGAGCAGTGAGTTTTGTTATCGGAACACGGTATTTTTACCCCCGATCGCGATCGTCCGCTGCTACTTGCTACTGCTGCTGCACGCGGATGCGCGATTTCTTCGCGACTCGCAAAGAGAAACGGGAAAAAGATGAAGAGCGAGGGGGGGGAAGAGAGGGGGAGAGAGAGAGAGAGAGAGAGAGAGGAGGAGGA